TTTATTATTTATATAAGCCTGGCCCTCAAAAATTTACCCAAAGGCGCGGTTATTTCAAAATTTGCAGACGACCTAGCCATTATTGTCAAAAAAAAATCCGCAGAAGCAGGTCTATCCACTACCGAAAAATTTGTACAAATTATAAAAACAAATCTAGATAATATTGGACTTGAACTCTCCCCTGAAAAGACAACCTTTATTCACTTTAACAAGTTGGGTATCCTTCCTGGCGAAAGCGAAATTAAGATTGATAACTCACACATAAAGTCTACAGCGTGCGCTCGCTACCTAGGTCTAACGCTAGACTACACACTGTCTTTCAAAGAACATATTTCAAATGTTAAAAAAAAATGTCTACGTGTAATGAATATACTGAAATTCCTGAGAGGAACCTGGTGGGGTGCAGATCCAAGTACTTTGATAACGCTCTACAAAAGCTACATACGACCGATAGTAGACTACGCTAACTTTGTATATTTTCCTCGTAGAAAGTCACAATTGGAAAGCCTCGAACGAATACAGTACTTGGCCATAAGATATGCATTTGGCTACAGGATCTCCACCCCGACCAACGTCCTAACACAAGAATCAAAACTTCCATATCTGTACGACAGGGGAGTATACTTGTGCTCAACATATCTGTCAAAAGTGATTACCAACAAAAGCCTACCTGTAACTAAATCAATCATCCGATTTCATGCAAAATTCAACAAACATAAAAGAAAGAGCCTTCTAGCCAAAGGTATTAGCATTGTGATCCCTCTCAGAAAACATATTAAAACTGACAAAAAATTCAACATTTACATGCACAATTACGATACACTAATCGAAAGCATAAATGTAAATCTAGAACTTGGAAAAACTGTAAAAACTAATCATTTTCCAAATCGTGTCATAGAAAATTATGTAACAAAAAACAACGCTATAGCCGTCTACACAGACGGTAGCAAAGTAACAGGAGCCCAGTCGGTTGGCACAGCATGTATATGCCCGGCATTGCAATTCACGATTGACCGCAGCGTTTGCGAACTAGCCTCCATATTCACAGCTGAATCTATTGCCCTAAACGATGCACTCGATCTTGCGCTCGAAAATACAAACAGAAACATTCTCGTTTTCACAGATTCCCTAAGCGTTCTACATAAACTAAATTCCACAATATTTGACATTAAAACAAACAATTACCTCCTGCAAATCAAAAAGAAAGTTTATGGATTCAAAGAATCTTCCCCAAACGGAAGCACTGTTCAGCTTATATGGATCCCCTCTCACATTGGAATCTGTGGGAATGAATCAGCAGACGAGGTAGCGAAAAATGCAACTAGCAAACCACACTCAAAATACGCTCATATTCCCTACTCCGACTTGCGTCAGATATTCAAAACAGAAGCATCTGTAAATACCAAGATTAGAAATATATCACTTAGTACGCACAAAGGCAGAGAATACTTTGACTACTTTGGCACAGAGGAAAATCAACCATGGTTCCACAAAAAGAATCTAAACCGCGACACCATCGTCACAATAAATCGCCTGAGAGCTAACCATTATAATTTAGCTGCCTCTTTAGCACGAGTAAACTTGGCTTCCTCCGCCTGTTGCTCATGCGGACACGATCTGCAAGACATTGACCACATTGTGTGGCAATGCCCATTACTTGACAATCAAAGGAAAAAACTTGTTAACCAACTAAAAAAACACAGGCTTCAACTACCTCTGAATATCCACTGTCTAATCTATGATCCCAAAACAGAAGTTTGTAATATATTGTATACGTTTCTCAAAAATTGTAACCTACATGTATAATATGTAAAATCTTTCCACCGCAAAACTTTCATCTATATCTACAATGTATCCTACTTGTACAGATCAAAAAATAATGTAAACTTATAGCTAAATAACTCCAAAAGGAGTTGAGAAAGCTCAATAAAAAAAAAAAAAAAAAAAAAAACTGAAAGATAATTTACCAAAAATAAAGAGTAGCTATAAGGAAAGCAAGGAGCGATAAATAATGACGGAACTTAAAGGGTTAAAGTATACAAATTACAGCTAGTTTGGGAGCTGGGTACCATCCCGTATGTAACAAGTTTGCCAAAGCTGAAAACTGATTATTCTTATGTATTTTAAGCCCCTGAAGTCGAATCCGCAAGTCAATTTGTTGACAAATGCGCAGAACATTGTTTAAAATAAAATTGTTCAAACAATTTATCAAAATTGATTTATTCGTGCTGGATACGTTTTTTGTTTTTAGAAAATATAACTTACTTTAAGGTGCAAAAGTCTCTTATAACTTTTTTGTAAAATGCATATTTCCAAAGTTATAAATTTTTCAAGGTCCAAAATACAACATGTTTTACCAACTATGAGTGTTAATAGCTTTTGACTTAGTCAATATTTTTTAAAACTGAAAAAAGCGATTTATTTTTGAATAGTTACTCTATAAATTGATATAGTGAAACATCAGTACAGGTTTTTGTAAATGCACTTTTTTGTGATTAACAATGAGACTTTTTCGATGTTTTAATGCTTGATCTAGTACGCATATCGATAGATTCTATTATATAGAAATTTTTTATATTATATTTAATTCAGATTGATTCAGGTCCTAACAATTACGTCAGCGATATAACAATATTTATTGAAATAACTTATATTGGCTGATAAAGTAATTTAATTTATTCCTACATTTTTCATCGTTGGCACATGTACAAAATGAACAATATTTAACTTTATATTTCACACAAGATTTTTCGCTTATGCAAGCTGTGCAGTTACAACTTATGATAAAAACTTCGGGAGGTGGGGTAGCATTATATATAATTTCTTAGATTCAAATATTTTATTATTTATGTCGTATGCAAGCAGTGAGGTGCTCGACGCCACAATGGTATAGTAATTGTGAGTTACAACTCGAATGACAGATTTGAATTTTTATTTAAAACAAAACTTTTTAGCTTGCTTCATGCGATTCAACTTTCCATTTAGAAAACAATTATTATTGAATAATGCAATAATTATTGTAATAATTATTTTAATTGTTACAATTACATTAGTTGTTTACAAAATGTTGTACATTTATAAGGCCAAAATCGCAGTATAAAATCCTGATACAATGGGTTCTACCAATGCGCGCACTAGATCAATCATTGAAACATCGAAAAAGTCTCATTGTTAATCGCTAAAAAGTGCATCTACGGGAAATCTGCACTAATGTTTCACTATATTAATTTATAGAGTAAGTATCCAAGAATAAATTGCTTTTTTCCGTTTTAAAAAATATTGACTAGGTTAAAAGTTGTTAACACTTAAATTTGATAAAACACATCCAATTTTAGACCTTGAAAAATTTATAGCTTTTAAAATATGCATTTTAAGAAAAAGTTGCAAGAGATATTTTCACCTTAAAATAAGCCGTATTTTCTAAAAAAAATTTTTCCAGCACGAATAAAACATTTTTTGATAAATTGTTTAAACAACTGCATTTTAAACAATGTTCTACGCGTTTGTCAAAATATTAACTTGCCGATTCAAATTTAAGGAGTTAAAATACATAAGAATAATCGATTTACAGTTTTGGTAAACTTATTGCATACAGGATGGTACCCAGATCCCAAACTAAGCTGACACAACGAGCGCCTAATGAATTTCTGTTATTAGTCTCTTAAAAGTAAGAGAAATTAAGATGGTGATCGAAGCTTTAAGGCAAAAATCGAGTGGCATCGTTGGGAAACGCGAAATACAAGAGAGACGGCAGTGTCATAGGCAAGAAAAACAAAGTTACAGGAGGAAAATGTCCTGAAACTGGCACCACGCTGTGAAGGGGGCGGAGGAGAGAAAGAGAGAGAAAGGTTATACGCCAAGCGAGCCGCTGATCCTTCGGATACTTAAATTGAACGAGCTCTACGCGAGAAGATGAGAGAGGGTGGAGGGGAAGGGAGAGTATAAGGGGGGGATAGGATATGAAATGGGACGAAGTATATGTATATTAGAAGATGAGAACCAAGGTTATGGAGAATAGGATAAACAATGGGAAAGAGAAATTATTTAATGTATAAACAGAAATGGAAAAAAATGAGAAAATTGAGAAGAGAGCGACAAATAGGGGTGGATTTAGTCAGAAAGTAAAAAAGAGCTCTTTTGATTAACATAACGGCAATTGTGACCTTCGGGTAAAAGCCAATTTTTGCTACCTTTTCTATACCATAACATTTGATGAGAGGCATTCAACGAGAGAGAAAAAGAAAACAAGATCGATAACGCATCTAAATCATCCCACGTGCCTGAAAGATTACCCGATAAATAAAAGCTCGTAGGAACTGAAAATGAATACAACGGTCTTTACTGGAAGCAAAAAAAAAAAACCGAGAAAAGAGGCGCAAGCATCGAAGTCAAACGATAAGCGGGTAGACACGTGCGGCACACACATACAGAGCGACCGGAAGTAACGTTGCTGTACGCCGTGGCATCGATTGGTGGTATTGTAGCCATGAGAGTAGGTATATACGTACCGCAAGGAATGAAATACACACGTATACGATACCCAGCGCGCAGATCATTAATAACGCGGGCCTTTAGCCACTTTGGCTGTTTTTTATCCTGGCAATGCCACGCACATACATGTACTCACACGCCTCTGGCTTGCACAAATCAACGTTACCCCCGCACAGCTCGCCTACAAATCCGGACACTTTGAGGCTTAAAATCGATTTACGGACTGCGATATATAAATGATTTGGAACCTCCCGGAGACCTGATTCATGGTGTTCACGTTTCTCCTACTTTACCTTTCTCCAGAGACTCCTTCTTTACACACTTTTTTTCCTCGTTGGATCCTTCCTCTTCTTCTTCGTCCGCTTCTGCGTTGTCAGTGACTTTTCACTATTTCAACATTGTCACGCTAATGTATTGACTATATGTACTGTACGATATGTAGGCCATTTGATTGACGTGCAAAATGCTTTTGATGTTTGTATTATAACATTTATTGATTTGTTTACCTCTCTCAAATGCTTCTCATGTTTATTTATAAGCTATATACGAGCAATTGTACACACACACAAGGGGATTTGAGGTTCATTCGGGATGGAATGACGGGAGTTTCTTTTACAAGAGCACGCAAATGTATTGTTACAATTGAAAAAAATTTACATGTGAATAGAGATTTCGTCGCTTTTCTGCAAACAATTTGAAGCCATCAAAATTAAGGAATAATAATAAATTCATTTCTGTCGTGCATGGGAACGGATGAAATGCAGTATTTCGTGAAATTCGAATGACATTTGCCATCAAACACGGTTCACGGACGCTGCTTTATAAATCCACGCGAAGCAAACTTCATTATCACTTTTGCCATACCTACATGGATTTCGCATCGGGAGTATGCATATATATTCTACGGTTTTGTTAAACTTTGTGCTCACTGCACAAAAGAAAGCCAGATATATCGAAAATCAATTTTCAATCTTAAAAGAATTCCGCGCGAGGATTGAAGGCACAACCAATTTCCCATTTCCGATCGATAAATACGTCGCGTAACCTCGCTGTCGCAATCGATATCCAAATGAAACTCCTCTAGTCTACCGTCTACTGCCTATCGGCTATCGCCTATCACCTATCGCGTATCACCTCCCCCCTCTTCTGCATTTTTTTTACGAATGCAAGTGAGACGAAGAAAATAAGAAGAACTCGCGTCGAGCGGCAGAAAAGACCTTGTGCATATTTCAGGCGGTAGCTCATCATTTGACGCGCGAGAACTCGTCTAATAATAATCTTTTGCTCTCAAGGTCATCAATCTCCCACGCGATGATTTCCTTTTCTGTTCGTCAATACGGCCTTATCCCTGTATTCGCAATAAAGCCTAACCGCACATAAGTGTCACATGCAAAGGCTGCTCCTCCGTCTTTTGGCCATCGTAAACTATACCTATGGGTTCTCGTAAAGTACACATTTATGCGGCGCGCGTCTTTGGTCACCTGTGAACCATAAACGCGCGCGTTCGTTGACGAGGAAAGATAACAGCACACAGGCCGAGGACAAGGCGGATCGCATGCATATAGATCGAACCCAAGGAGAGCACACGCGCGCGCGTGTGTGTGTGTGTGTCGGAATTTTTTGTTCTCTCCTCCGATCATCGTAAAAAGAGGAACTCCACGTCATCGTTTCTTTTCGGTTACTTCAGCTGATTCGATGCATACTAGATGTCCTCTAAGTCGTAAACTTCGCTGGCTGCACTGGTTATGAATATTGATTATATTTGACGCGACTCTTTTTCGATGTAATAATAGAGATGGGACGAAGATCTTTGGGATTTCATTGATTCTTCTTGGTCCATGCTTGACTGCCGAGGCTATCCCTGTAAAATCGTAAAAACACCGGGGGTGAGAAGTGTACGCTAAAACCTAACCCTTACTTCTCTATAGCAAAGGATGAGAGGAAGAGGATATGTATGTATTTGGCAAGAGGGTTTCAATGTCGCGAAGAATTCGTTTGAATTTATTGGAGGATCTACTTTGAACCCCTTGAAATTTGCTAGTTTTATTCAATTTTTAGGGTTGAAGCCCTGGCAGTAAAGAGTTTCGAGATAACTAATAGAGTCTTATCTCCGCGAACTTTATATTTCAAGAATGATATAAGGACGGGTTATATGCTCGTATATTTGATTTTGATCAAATACAAATTTACCGAACTTTAGAGATCCTTTTCTATGTGTTTCCATGTATTTTCATTAGAAGTGAAAAATTTCCATTTAATAATCCGCGCGATTATAAAAGTCAATCCAACTGCGAAAGCCCCGCGCGAACTCGAAGGTGAGAAAAGATCCAACTTGGAAACTCGCTCAAACAATGACAAACGAGTGGAGAAATTTCAGCTCGTTAAAAAGCAAACTTGAAAGAGGCGAAGGGTCTCGAGAAGTAAAAGAATGAAAAGGAAGCTCCGCCCTTGCCTCGTACCTTTTTTCGGCAAATTGCGTTTGTCTGGACCGCAAGCTAAGAAGGAAAGTTCGATATTGCCTCTGGAGTTCGGCAGCGCTGCCTTTATTCATTTCGCTAGTGATAATCCTGGATGGCCGATTCCTCGAGGACGCTAGAGTAATAGGCGAGGAGTCCATCCTCGACGATTCCCATGCGCCAGTGCTGCCGTTGACTAACCGAACTGACGACGACGTTGCCTCGGGCGCTCTTAATTTGCCGGCTGACGCGACGTCGACGCTCGCTTCGTCGCCTTGAAAAGTCATCAGGATGTTACGCCTCCGACGTTGCACCGTTGCTGCTTCCTCTGACACTGCAAATTATCAAGGCAGACGGTTAAATTATATGTAATTAAGCTTTATTGGCATGCAAGTGTTTCCTCGTGCCAGTACTTTCTGCTTTATTAAAATGTGGATTACATTTTTTTTCTTGGTACATTTTTATGAGCACTTGAAAATATGAATTCCTGCTTCCTGTAGTTTCTAACATGAATCGATAGCTCGACAGCGCTAATATAAAAAACGCTTAAGTATACAATGTTGCGTTTAAGCCGCGTAAAAAGTAGAACCCAAGAGCTATTGGTCATAACAACGAGAATTTGTTACATTATCGAAAACAAACGGCACGTCTAGTAATAGTAGAATCTTAAACGTTCGGAGAGCCGACGAGTTCCTTGCGATAACAGCTATTGTGATAAGAAGTGCCCAAATGAGTGTTCGAGCTTAAGCGTATCCCCGTAGTAAAAGAAAAAGGAAAATGCAGTTGTTTTCAAGGTTGGCCGTCTAGCGATCAGCGTTGTTACGCTGTGACTTAAAAAAATGTAAAGTGTAAGTCAAGAGGAAGATTCACAAACATAGTAAATAAAACACAATACGAAGAAATTTGAATTTCGACAAGCTTCGTTATTAGAAAATAAGGGTTAAGGTATATAAAGGACTGGATGAATGCCGTAAGTTGCAATTGCAATTGATCGCATGAGATGCTGCTCTATCAGCGTATACGGTTAAGCCTCTCAATGTTCTGAGCTCGACCTGAAGTCTATAGTCCCCGCGGGCTACTGGTAGGCTGGTAGGCTGCCGAGCGACGAGCAAGCGAGGGCGCAAGGAGTAGGAGTGTAGGGACATCGAGGGGCCGAAAAATTCGAACGGTACGCGACAAAACGGATAACGAATAGCTCTTTGTTAGGCACCAACCAGAAAGTCACTTTCATAGCTTAATATTTTTCTCTCGCCCACGAGTACCTTTGTCTTCTTATTCGTATACTTCGTGTACCGCTTAAGTTTAATTGTAAAATAATAGCTTTTTTCATCACCGCGGTTTGTTCACGCCAATTATTTAGTATAGTTTAATAATAAAGTTCGTTGTTACTTTGTATTTTCGTTTTTTTTTTCATTAAAATAATCATTTTAAATACGATAATAATTTTAACTTAATCTTACCCCTTCTCAACAACTAACGTTCAACTACTCTATTTAAATCTTTAACGTTGACTTATTGTCGGCGTGTAACTATGCTTAATTTAAAAAAAACAACCAAAACAAATGCTTTCTCATTTATAGCAAAAATCTTATACACGAGCCAAAATATACTGCATCAAAGATATAAGCTACATTCAAAGCAAATAGGTTCATAAAACAAAACTCGGTCAGAAGGGATCTGTACCTGTATACACATAGAGCTTATACCTTTCTCGTCCGCATGGGACTCGATCAATGCTATCGTGCTACCCCAATCATCCAAGCTCGCCGTCGTCATCGCAGCAGCAGGAGCAGCAGCAGTCGTCGTCTCCTTGAATAAATCATCGCTGCTTGACGGTGCATGGCCGGCTCTGTTCCGATCCCCTGTATCGGCATATTTCGTTGATCGATCTTCCATTCGATTTATCGAAGGAGCGGCAGTCTCATTTGCATACGTTCTCGGCTGTGCTGCTGTTGCATTCTTATCCTCGTTGCTTATCGTCACCTCGATAAACTCCTTAGACGATACTAATTCGCTGGAATCCAGAATCTCGGTCGAGTTTTCCAACTTTGATAAGCATAACTCACTGCTACTGCTGTCGTTGGAAAAATTTGCGACTTGTGCTATTTCCGAAGAAGTAACGTTTGCCTCGTCGAACCATTCAGTGCTACTCTTTGTCAGTGAGTCCTCTTGAGAGATTGTTGAATTTTCGCTTTCGATATTACTCGTCAAATCTTTCCAATTCGTTGAGTTTTCATTTTCATTACTGAAGAAATGCTCCATACTGAGAGTCAACTCCACGCTGCTGTTGGATGAACCGTCGTCTGGGCTTTTTGTTGAATTAAACTCGCTACTTGTGGTATTATTATTATTGGGTTTGTCATCGAACGTCCCTGTAAAATCTTTATTCGACTCTTCGCTTCCAATCCCATTACTGTTGAGATTCTCGTTCTCAGACGCAAAGAAATCATCCACTAACTCGTGGCGTTCACTCGTAGTATTATTATTTTGGCTTTCGTCAAGTACTTCGTTGAGATGCGGCATTACTCCAATTCCGCTTCCAGAAAGATCTTCGCTCTCATTAGCGAAAAAAGCGTCGACGAATTTTTTATCCGCAGATGAATCCTCCCCACTTAATGTCTCCGTTGAATTGCTATTTACAAAATCACTTACAGAAAAACTTTCGTTCTCGTTTGCAAAGAAATCGTCGACGAATTTGTCACCTACGAGGTCGTTCTCTTCACTTAATGCTTTCGTCCAATTCTTACTTAAAAATTCACTTACTGAAAATCTTTCCTCCTCGTTCGCGAAGAAATGATCGACGATATCATCGTGTTCACTCACAGTATCATTAAGAGCCTCACTATTCTCATTCGTAAGAAAGTTTTCTACCATTTCATCGTGTTCATCAGTGGTACTATTTCCATCGATCTCTATCGAGTCATTTTTCGGCACATCGACAATTTCATCTTCCAACTTAAAAAACTTCTTGGCAGTCGGATCGACGTCTTGGTCAAGTGGCGGCTGCTTGTGTTGCTGAAATTTCTCCTTACTGTCCGCGTGTATTGCCTCATTTCTGTACGATTCGTCTTCATTGTCGCGGGCGAAAGTTTCGTTGGAGTTGTTTCCGCTTGCCTCGTTATCGGCGATAGTGAAAGTCTGATTGAAATTCCCCGGGAGAATCGACGACAACGAATCGTCATAAGACGTCGTTGAGTCTTTTTCTTTCTTCAAGAAGAACTTTCCACTCGACTCAACATTATTGTACATGAGGCTGCTGGTGCTCGCATTAATCCAAGTGCTTCTCTTCTGCGCTGTTGAGCTCAGTGTTACATTATTCGCTTGTTGATCTTCAGCTGCCACCATCGTCGGAACCGCAGTCGTTGTTGCTTTGTCCTGCCTGAGAACAGTGAATGGACAGTCGTTAGATACTACTCGACTTGTTTTTTTCTTATTTCCGTCGAGGAACACACACAAAAAGATTCGATGAATGGCAATTCCTAGATACACGACTATAAAGTGCTCTCTTGTGTTTCCGAGTGAAAATTACGTGACTTCAAATATCAATTTACATTTTTATCCGTGAATAAATTATCTGCGTAAAATTTGAACTGTAAGATCATTTGATACGGATCAACCCACGCTATATCAATTTATTTCGAAATAGTATAATTATGTTTCATTGCATATTGCAAAACCAAAACTTATATGAAAACTTATATACTTATGTGCAGTTATCTCGATTTTCAAAAAAGAATGTACAAGATATATGAAACTTATGAAAACAATTTGTTGAATTAATTAGTGGATTAATGTAACAAAATAAGACCTCGACCCGTGGGCTATTCAAGTTGAATCTATAGCTATATAAATCAGGTACCAAATTATTTTACAATGGCAAATGGGGTAATGTTGATCAAGAAATATAATTTCCTTGCGGTATTGGGGGAAGGAGAATTCATACAATATTTCAAGTGCTGTAAAGTCATCAATCAAAAGTAACTCTCGATAAAAGTTGAGCGATTGAATCTGTGCGTGGGCGCGTTATTATTACAATGGGAAAATCAGCAGCAGAGGCGATATCCATAAAGTATCGCGAAAAGATAAAATTCGAAAATGAGGGAAGGTCGGGTTCGGGTTATAAAATACAATAATAAATTCGAAAAAGTAGCAGGAGAAAGATAGAGAGGGAAAAAGAGAGGGAGAAAGAGAGAGAAAGGGCGGCGAGAAAAGGGAAGATATAGCGTGTTGGAGAGAGGAAACGTCCGAAAGAATCAAATCGAACCAATCAAAAGTCCATTACTGAGATATAATCGCCAATTTAGTTGGAGCAATAAACGGCCCCCTTCATTCCCAAAGAAAAAATGACGAAGACGAGGAACCCCCTCTTTTTCTCGCGTACCGAACGAGCCAGTAGAATGGAATTCGCGCAGGCGAGCAAGACGAGTCTCTCTCTCTCTCTCTCGACTTGTCGAGCGAGCGATTGATGATATCGAAGAGTACGATATAATGAAGAGCCGAAAGAGAGCTAGCTGCTGCATTGTTTAGTAGTTGTTCTACAAGAATGATGAAAATTTCATAGGTCTTCGATATAAAAGAGAATGACAGAGGAGATGGGATTTAACTAGAGAGGTGGCATACGACGGCAACAATGACTACGGCTATATATACGTGTATAACATCTCCCTTGGAAGCAATACGAACAATATACGAGCAGAGAAAAGGAAATTATGAAAACAAGATAGACTACCGGATAGAGAGTATGAAAATAAGTTCCCAGTAGGCAAACTCTTTGTCTTTCTCTCACTCTCTCTCTTTTTGTTTATCGGATTTCCTGGCAATATATACTCTATATGCTTCGAAAATTCATCAGTTAGGGTTTTTGCGCTGATTTTATTGTTCGCGAGTTTTTTTTCTCTTTCCTTTCATCGATCCGTTTGATTGTATTGTGTATTGATTCATTATCACAATTTTGAAACACATGATATTACTAACAACGTCTTAAAAGGTCGGTTTTCAATTATTTCTCGTGGCAGTTAAATTTTGAAACTAATAACGAAAGCTAAAAAAATCATTCACACAAGTAAAAGTTGGTAATATTTGCAAGTATAAGTGAAGCAAGTTTTGTGACGTTATGTAAGGTTATAACGAGGTTGATAAGTACGAAGTACAAAATCGTCTCGATCAATTATACTTTCGAGATTATATCCCGCAACTTTTGTCGAGTGAGGTACCGAGCTGTCTCGCTGCCAGCAAAGTTTTCCCAATTTTGCGACATTACACAGTAATTGCAGTCGCGTCGGCGCGTAAAGGTACATGGTTGTAACAAAGAAGCGAAAGCAGAAAGGGAGGCCCAAGACAGAATGAGAGAGGGAGAGAGAGAGAGAGAGAGTTGAGAAAATCAAGAGAGCTACGCACATACGACGAAGAGGACTAGAAGCAGCAAAGAGGCTCGAGTCATCTACTCGTCGACGACGTCGGGGTGAGAGAGGATGGAAGTTCTCTCTCGTCTCTTTGATGAATCAGCTGCTGAATCATTAAAGAAACGTCTCTCTCTTTCGCTACGCTGTCATCTCCTGAGGCGCGCTGCTGCCGTCGACTTTTCATATAGCCACCGCTTTTCCGATTCTAGCTCCCCTCATTTCCTACGCAATCATTCTGAATTGCGCGTTTATACGTCGATACATACATGAATCTTTCAAGAAGCTAAGAGAGCGGAAAAGTAGCAACGTATTTTTCAAGTGCATTAGGGAAATATTTGCGAGAGCACGATTCGTCATTGTAAATAGCTCGCGCAGTTGAGGCACTTGCTGAATTTTACTACTGCTATGCGTGCTCAGCTTATTTTAGCGGCATGTAGTCATGGAAAAGGAGGAGGCGCAGACGTTGGAAAGAAGGCAAATATTTGAACGTCAAGAAATTATGTGACCGGCTGATCGATGAAATCTACTTCTGCGAAATTTATGAATGATATATGACCTGTCGTGAAAAAGCTACTTTGTCGACATCTCTTTTCTATGCGACGTCAAGCCTGTTTGCTTACACTTTGCGCAAACATTCCAGTTGAACTTTTCCAACGTAAATAATCGTTTTTTTATTTTTTTTTCATCAGGAAAACCATCAGCGAAATCATTGTTACATTTGAAGATAACCTGATTTTTTTTTGACGATTCGATGAAATAACTAATTATTGTTTTTCTTTTGTTTAGTCGAAACAGCGTCAAATGAAAATACTTGATAGAAAAGATTTTTCATCGAAGAGAAAAAAAGAAGAGTGAAAAAGAAGTCTAGGATAAAAGAAGCTCCAAGAGAGTGAGGCTGGAACTCCTTGAAAAGACGGCGGCGGCAATGCGGGCATCGAGGGAATTCGAGCCTCCCTGGCGGGCTTTTTGCTATCCTGCCCCCGACCTTTTCTAAAAAAAAAAGGGCTTTTATGAAGAATTTTCATTCAGTATGAATTTAATATGGGAAACGTAGAATATGAAATGATTTTTCTGTGAAAAGTTCGCTCAGTTCTAATACTAAAGTAAACCAGGAGGATGAAAGCTTGATTTTTTCAGTAGATTTCGTAAACCGATAAATTGTTTCAATCAAATGGTTATTGTATAAAAAAGATGTTTGACCGCCACTGTTACTGAAGGAAATTAAAATAGTCGAGTTTCAACGTTAATTATGAATCTTGTAAATAATAGTATTTTTCCTAATTGTGTTATCATTATTAATAAGAATTATTCTATAGCACAGTTACAATGCTAAATAAAAAATAATTTAAATGACAAAAAGAACATCTACGAAGAAAGTAATTTTATAATCCACGTGTATAAAAAAGCTGTTGAGCACATCAATCATACAGTAAAAATAGGCAAATTTATTGACAGGTAGAAACGGGACTGAGTCCAAATCGGCTCACTGTATTTAATAATAAAATCCAATTTATTACAATCTTATCTATTCTTACCGATTCTGTTCCGAGTATCGTTCATTCAAAAGTATGTAAAGCTTGCTGTTACACAATTGTTCAACACGATCCTCAAGTAGTAAGTACAAACCAAGCCAGTTGGAGTCAGTCGAGGAGGCGGAGGGCAGAGGCGTCGCTGATGCATTCTCGTTCACGTCGTTGTCGCTTGAGGACCGTTCCTGCTCGGTCACGTACTTTTCAAGCAGCACCTCGTCCAGACTCTTGCAGCTTTTTTAGCTGCTGTTTTTTTATCGTCGCTATTGAAAAACCAATCGATTTTTTTGATTTTTACTCCTTTGTAATTGCTCCTTCTCTATGCTACTTGGGAATTCAGTTACTGTTTTCTTTATAATAAAGGTTGAGTAATATAATATACCGAATAAATTAATTAGTATTTTTTGCGGATCATTTGGTACAGAACTTTTTTCTTTAGTCGAGTTGGATTCACTAATTTTACATCGGATAAATTTTCTTTGAAGTCTATGAAATCTTGGGTTACTAGATTCAAAGAGAACGATTTTAAATCGAACAAAAATTTAATCAAACGTTTCAAATGGAACTGAGTAAGAGCTTGCCAGGGGTTTTCAGAAAATACTATTACTCTCGATCTGCTCAACAAAATTTTCGTTTGAGTTGGGATAACTGAATGAAGTGTTTCATCGAAATTCAATTAAGTTCAAGTTGAAGTCTACTAAAAGAGCGAAAAGCGCGTCACTCCGTAGTTCGTAAAGTAAACTTCGGAAAAATAATGATTAAATAAAGTAAACGTCGCACTGCCTATACATCTAGATACAAATATTGAGAGCCTTACCTGCAGAATTTCGAGGCAACACCAGCAGCAGCAGCAACGACGTAAGGACAGGTACTGAGATGCGCGACATGACTGACGCCGTTGACGGAAGATTAGATTCTGTACGTCGGTAAACTGCAGCAGGTTTCGACCGCCTCATACGTGTGTGGGTGTCTGATAGCGCGCGTCGTTTGCAAAATCTTCCCCGTCCGATTCACCTATGTGAAGTGAATTTCGACACTTGAAGGCGTGACACGCGCCTGATGGCATTGCCCACCTCCAGCTCACGTGCCGATTCACATACACCTATATGCCTACATACGTGCACCCGACGGATTTTTTTTTCTGTCGAGCTGTAAGTCGTATGAAAGCGAAAAAATTGGTCCTCCTCGCGCAAGCTTCTCCGCAGGATTTTATGAGTTATTCAATATTTTCAAGATCGTTTTGCTCATTGCCCTTTCGAGCGTTGTTGTATATGCTGATCGAGCACGATTCGTATAAAGGTTGTACCTGCCCTAAAATATGTTTTGACCTTTACTACTTTTGGAGCTTCTATCAGCAAATTACGTCGATGGCTGTTATGACTTGATCACTCTCACTGTTGGAGGCAACTTTTATGCTGACACGTGTTATAAACGTGTTATCGTGTACTACCGTCAAATGATTCATAACATTTTCTTGCTGTAAATAATTCAATTAAATTCGATTGCTTTTCAAAATGTTTAAATACAGAAGATGAATAACATTGTTGAATAATCAAAAAACAAATAAATTGAACGATAAAATCAAAGTTACCAATAAATTTAGTAGAATAAAAACATGCAACAGGCCACTCATTTAAAAGCAATGTTAGCTTATACATTATTCTCGAGAAATGTCTATTCGATATAATTTCTTGAATTTTATTCATATAAATCAATGCATCAGAATTGAGTATACTAACGTAAAACATAATTTCCATTTTTTCCCCGATGCCATCGAGTTTCTCGTCTCTAATTAAGACATTGGTCTTAATTCATGCATTGTCGCTGACGTAAAGAGCCACTAATTAATCCTAAAAAAATGCAGAATAAGGTTATTTTGAAAAAACACAAATTAATGAAAATTTTGAGAAAGAGAGAGAGAGAGAGAGAGAGAGGAGAGAGAGAGAGAGAGAGAGAGAGAGAGAGAGAGAGAGAGAGAGAGAGGAGAGAGAGAGAGAGAGGAGAGAGAGAGAGAGAGAGAGAGAGAGAGAGAGAGAGCGAGAGAGAGCGAGAGAGAGCGAGAGAGAGAGAGAGCGAGAGAGAGCGAGAGAGAGCGAGAGAGAGCGAGAGAGAGCGAGAGAGAGCGAGAGAGAGAGAGAGAGGCGAAAAGTTCGACAGAATAAACTATTCGCAAATTGACGAATCAGTTCTTTTTTGCAAGCTCGTGCATGCACACGCAACCGGATGAAGATTTTTTTTCGATATGCGTCCGTGTGAATGAGTTGGTGCTGGCGTGCGAGTGTGTGTTGGTAAAAAAACCGCAGAGTCGTGATGCGGCTCGGATGTCACGGTGTCACGTACATAAAAATTGGCCGACTATCGTTGCCTGAGGAATGTGTGTACAAGTGCTGCTTTTGTATGAAAAATGTCCGAGCCGCATACGCATACACACGCATACACACGCATTCACGCGCATACACGCGCATACACACGCGTGCGTGCGCGCGCTCGGCGACGTGCAATGAGTGGTGAAATTTCGTCGACGACTGTGACATTCGTTTTCTTTTTTAGCCTAAAAATTTGGCAGACTTTCAAAACTTGCCAAAAAAAAGCACAAAAAAAATGTTGGAAGTGATGAGTAACACCGACGATTCCGATCGTACTTGCGAGCTTTTCGAAAGACCATTCGATCCGTAAATACACTTGATGATCAAATACCTTTGCAAAACAAGTTACTAACGTATTAAAGTGCCATCCTCGAAAACGCAGTCATCAAGTTAAATGATTTTGCGCAGAGTGCACAAAGTTAAAATTTAATGTGTATGCATATATCCGGCAAACTGTACGGGTCAATATGCAGGAGAGCTTGAAACCCGTTCAAATAATGAATAAGTGTAGCGTGCAGTGCAGTCCTAAAATGAGTGTACATACATATAAAAAAGTCAAAACGCACCATCATCATGCTGCGAAATGTAAATAACATATTGGCCTTGCTAAATGGAGGTCGTCCAGTCTGCCGAAGCTGTTGCAGAAGCGATCCATCGGGGATAATGCGCAATGAGAGCGTAGTACGATATTCGTTAACGAACAATGCCGACATTACTTACGCACTACTTAGCTCTTTCACACAGAGTAGTAGCAGCGCAATAGCATCATCGATTATCAACGCTACGATGTTGTCATGACGACGCAAAACACGTATGATGAGGAAAGTAACAGCACACGCGAGTTACCGCTACTAAACTCAATAAGCTCTTAGCGCATAGATTTGCATTGAAATGCCAAGTAATCCCAAACAATGTCGTTAATTACTTTGTACATAAAGCTTAATTGAATGCAGACGTTTATTGGCATAGAAACTATTTTGAGCAAGCAGTTCTGTCTCTGTACTTAGCTGCATTCGATTCATACATTATTTTTGGGCTATACTAATATCGCGCGATTTTCTCGAATCCTGTGAAAACAAATTATATGTATTACGAATAAGTTTTAAAGAGAATATCAGGATGTAGATTAAACTTTAACGAACAGTATTTATTCCATCAAATTCTGTTTATTGGTATAGTTCCGCAAATAGTGCTGCCTCATAAATACAATATTCTTTATCTGTGACAACCATCCATTCAGATAAATATAATCGCGCGTGTAAGAAATCTTTTTTTAGGTGCGCAAGCTTAATTAATTTACACAATAGTAGTGATGTTTCGCTTGTTATGACGTACAACTAAATTTTTTGACTTTCTTATATATCATATTGCGCGCGCGGTGTGTGTGTGGTTGTATACATATTCTGTATATGTTTACATTTTATACATACAGTTATTTAACTTTTTTATATTTATATCAAAATTATATATAAAATTGATAGATTATAATTACAAAGTAACTACATACATATTTATAGTTCCATGAGGAAATCATTGCCTAATCCTTTGGCATTCGTTTACATCAGCGGGTATCGCATTCATTTTTTACATAAATAACGTTTTGAAACTATAAAAATATCAGAAATCTTCATTTTGAACAATATTATTAGTAATAAAGTCGAATTTTTTCTACGACAACTGTTCAAAAGTAAAAAAAAATCAATCTTTTTTTATACAAAAAATACGCTAACCCCCGCAATGTAAACACCGACCCACTTACGATTTTAAAATCTCAAAACTGGAGCCTACTGTACATATTTGATGCAAAATAAACGAGATTCCAAAGAAGAAATCTGATGCATTATTTCCATACTGTTTGTATATACATTTGAATTAGGGTATTTACAAACACAAAACAGAATTGCACTGAAGTTTTGGAAATGTTCCCGAAAAGATAGTCATATGCATTAATATAAAATTAAATAAAAATTTTGCATGATAATCTGTTAACAAGAACGTTTCCCACAGATTTTGTTAATTATATTGATAAATTTAAATTTCATTGAAATTTTCAACAGTTTGCATATTCAGTTGATTTAACATGACTTGTAAAGACCGCAGTACAGATTGAAAAAAATGTTTCATCTGTCTAATTACATGGTTATTCAATACAATTAGAAATCATTGATAAATACATTTAAATAACTTTAAATAGCAAGTCAAATTATGGGAATTAATAAGATTAATATATGTAAGCAGTAAGTGTATATTAATTTTTTAATTCCTGCTTTATCATTTTATTTAAACAGAATCCGTTATTGTATTTTGAACGGACATTCATATGTTGACAAACAGTTTTTAAATCATAATCAATCAAATATCCGGAAATTCGCACACTCAATAAGTAATAACCATAACTCCGTAGTAAAGCTCTCTTAATCTTAATATACACCTATTTTACGTCTATAATCTTATAAACATTATTCGAATTTATGCTTTAATACATAATTATAATTTATATATTTTTGCAATATTATTTAATCGCATTTCAAAGTTACTTTTGTATCCAATTCTCAGACTAAAAAATCTAATGCCACGGCGAATCTGTGCTCTTTTTTTTAAATAGTTAGGAAAACAGAACGTAAGAGTAACTAAATGGCAATAGTTTAAGAATAAATGAAATCTATCTCATATTATACTACTTGTCAACGCATAAATGATAATTATTCAAGCTTGTGTTGTTATAATGATTATCTACTTAATTATGTGAAGTTTTTTTAATTACAGAGCTTTAACAAATATTTTTTTTATAAAATACTCGCAATAATTACAACCAAATAATTTAAATTCTTAAACAATAAAAATATAAAATTCACCAAAGGTTTATTTGCAAATAAAATAATTTTTTGGTATATCTTTTCAATTGCTACTATAAAAAGACGACTAATATTATTTATCCACAGATATTAAAAGACTTGAGAAATAGGTAAACATTATTTTAATCTTTCGACCATTGAAAAATAGTCCGAGGTATTTATTTATATTTTTTACATTAGTATTTTTTGTGCTTCATGCCATAATTTTCTTTATAATACAGTACTGAAATTTTATTTTATAATTCTGTGCATCAATATCATTTGAATCAATGAAAAGGAAATCGTCTAAATAAAAAATATAATTTTGTAATATTCGAAGCTGTATTGAACTTTTCTAGTAAAAGTATCGATAAATAATTATCACATTACAATCTTAAGAACTAAAAAATGTTTGCATAATATTTTACTTAATAGACGGATGGCACATTCATAATTAATTAAAGTGGTCGGTTTAAGATGATTGACAGCTTCAAACTCTTGTGAAAAATAAAAAATACTGAAACCTTTTTTTCGTAATTTTTGATTTAGCTTTAAATAAAAATTCGTTCGACCGTGCGTTTGACACTGATATTACATGAGAAGCTAATTATAGAAGAATCCTGTAAAATGTGTCGCTATTATTATTCTGTCGTAACAAGTAGAATTGCGCTGTGTACATTTTTTACGTAACGTATATATCACAGTTCAATAGAGAAGCTCTTTAGTAGCTTCCAAAAAAGGAAGTATAATAGCTAATGTACAAAGAAAAAACGTAATTATCATGAAGACCTAATCATCATTTTACTCAAACATTTAGCAAATGTAATAGTAATTTGATTAATTCCTACGAAATTTCATGAAAAAATTATAACAAAAATGCGTTTATTCTGTTAGACTGTAACTAAATTTATTTTTTTGTGATCCTACCCACGATTTATTAAAGTTCTTTTGCAGCTTGACTTTATTTTAGCAAGCTGTGTACTATAAAAGACAATATCAATCATCCTATATAAGAGTTAAAGCGAGAAAAATATTTACTTAAAAATATCTACTGTTAACGTAAACACGCCGTAAACCGAAGAAATTGAATATAAAACTTCATTCAAAATAACGTAGGATGAATACGCATAGATATTCGCCGTGACTATACAGCCATTTCACTTGATTCAAACATCTTACATTAATAATCATCAAAAGTTAATTGGTTAAGATGTATATTTACATCATAAGCTTTACAGTTTCTTTTACTGTTCATGAATTCCGCAAAACAAACTATGATAAAAATAAAAGAACATTTTTGACTGTTAAAATTAGTTTCTTTTGAATATAAATTTTTAAGTAAAACAAAATTCGTGTGTTTGATAGTGGTGACTTTGAATGCCCATTATCAAACACGCAATTATAAAACGGTTATTTTTAAATTAAAAAAAATACAATTTTGACTTCGAAAACACGTCAACATGATTACATCGAGTATAAGAATCTGTTTTGTAGTCTTTTACAAACTAGCACACTTGCGCATTTTTTAATTTGGTTCTGGTTATGTTAATTAACAAACTATTTTTTAGTATTTTTTAAGTTATGCTTAGGCACTCTGTATTTTGTTACATCACTCTTTTATTTAGAAGATCGAATAAAATTGATAATTAAAGAAAAAAGAAAATCAAATATTTTTTAATGCTAATTATGAATTACCAATAAGAGTGGAATTTCATTCACAATGAACAAATAATAATGATTGAAGGTAGAGGCTATTTGTAATGAAAAACGTATTGCATATAATGTACTTCCGTTACTTTAATGACTGTAAACTTTTTAAGTTTCATATGATTTTAATTATGAATATCTACCTATAAACTGTTCAACTAACTAACACTTTTATTTTTAATATCACAAATCTCTTACAAACACTGTTACATGACTATCTTTATACAAGGCGCATATTGCTATCAACTCACAATACGAAGCATTGATAGATCTGGTTCGGTTCCATTACGTAGGATTCAATAAAGCACTATGATCGATATAAGTGTTTATCGCTATCGTTGACTTGAGCGAAAAATTTTAGCATTAAAAAAATAATTAATAAAATATTTGTTAATATTAATAGATAAAAGAAAATAAAACATTTGCTTTTGAGTTGAAAGATGGTCCCAAACACTTGCACATGATTTTTGTAAAATCAAAAAGTATAATATTCTATTAAATAGAAAACAGATTGAAATTTTAGTTGTTATGAGTCACGCTATTTATAAGTATAAAATTTTGAAACAACGTTTATATACAAGTTTCAACGACACTTTTTGTTTCCGTATTACGTACTCATTTTTAACTAAGAATATTATGCAATAAATTAAAAATGAATATTTGAGACCGATCTTATAATTCAGATATTCATTACACAAACTCACATGGTTAGAGTGCCTAAGCTAATATTTGTCATATTGTATGGTAGACGCTCAATAAGAGCGCTGACACCGTGAAACTGCACATTATATCTCGGTATAATGTAAGTATTTTATTTATTTTAAAGTTCCTGAATGAATTTGTCTTCCTATATTTATTTATTGTGGCACGCACGAATAACGGACGCTTGGTTCTATTGGTACGATGTACGGGTAACGGTGAAAAAATAAAAGGAAACATATTCAGTTATTGGTTTTGCTTCCTGCTCTATACAACATAATTGCACTAGATCTGGACTGATATATGGACATTGATGAATATTATAAATATCATTCACTTGTCTCTTACCCAAAGCATAAATTGTATTAACCCTTAAAATTTTTAATATTCATCAAAACCTGGCTTGCTAGCAATATTATCAATATCGTCTTTGTTTTATATCTCACTCAAGTTCATTTTAACTATCATACTGGTCAAGCTCTCACTTTATGTGCACTACATAACGCCATGTCACACACTCATTTTCAGTACGATATCTTTTTTAAACACTGTTAATCCAAACAAAAAAGAGAGAGATGAGAGAGAGATGACAGAGAGAGAGAGAGAGAGATGAGAGAGAGAGAGAGAAGAGAGAGAGAGAGAGAGAGAGAGAGAGAGAGAGAGAGAATAAAACGAAAAATTTTGTTCGATCTAACAAAAGATATACGCGCACGAACTTTAAACATCTCGTACCTTGAATCTTGAAAGAAAGAAAGAAAATCGCTCTCGTGCGTTTTCAACTATACATGGGTTTAACAAGGCATTAGGTGAGCTGCTCATCGGTAGCTTGCTGCTTCAAGCATTTCGACGAAGAGCTTGTTCATAGGCACCTTACCGGTGCGATAAACGCTGGACCAGAACTTGCGAACAATGCCATCCGCCTGGCGGAGGCTCGGCAACATTAGGAACATGTTTTGGGTAGTGCGCAACGTTTGACCTGGACGCACTGCATTCACGCAATCCGAGAGTGAACTAAGAATGCTGTCGCGAAAACGTTGCAATGCTTGCGGCTCGTCTAATTTTGCGTCGCTGTTGCTCAGAATGAGGGCCTTCAGCATGTAAAATTCTTCACGGGCCAGACTTAATCGCTGCAGTCTATCGACGATCTGCATGCACTGTGAACAATCGTTAGTCACGATTTCATTTTTGAAAAAAATATTTTAATACTGTTTAGTAGTACTATATTTATCTGACTTGTTTGAATGTCAACGCTCATTAAAAACGACGAATTATGCATATAAGTTTTGAAATATCATTACTACTTGAAATAACATTTTCAAAAATTTTCAAAGAAAATCAGATAAATTGTATACCTCATAACAAAAAAACGTCTGGAAATAAGTAAGATTATTACAATTAATTACGAAAAGATATTTCACTCACATGTGTGTACAGTTCCAAGCAATGGCACTCTCGCGCAAGTCTTTCATCAAGCACAAAATCCTGTGCGAACCTGAGCTTTCCGCAATTTGGTATACTTCTCCAGACAAGACCGAAAGTCAAAATTTCAGCCCACGTGCTTTGTAGGAGACGCATTTGGTCATTGAGTGGCAAACTACTGAATCCTGGAATCTGTTTTGCCCAACCTTTGGAACAAACAAAAGTACATTATAAAATATGCTATTAAACATAAGTACTGCTTTGTAAGTACTCAATTAAAAAACAGTAGATCACTCGCATAAGCATTGCTTTCTACCTATACAGCGTAATATTTTAAGTGCCTCGTTAAAAAAGACGAAAGGCAATGAAATTGTTTGAAATTTCAAACAAAAAATAAAACGAAGTATCTTACGAAGTTTTAGCGTCTCCCAAAACCGAAAAAAGGATAATTACCTATAATTCCGACGAGTTCGCGATCGTAAAGATCCGACAGCTGGCCAAGGACTCGCTGATCAGTATCCAAAGTATGCGACAAGTTGGACACCTGCAGCATGTCGGGTTCGCAAGCTACTAGTGCCTCTACCATTTTATTATCTAAAAATACAATTAAGTATAATTAATATACAATCAATGCATACGATTCTCCAAGAAGGCATGCATCGAAATTCATGCCTCACAAAGCTATAGGTGAAACGAAATTCCATTGGTTCGATCGTATTTATATTATTTTACGCATTATATGACATCTGCTGAGACGATCACGTTAGCGATAAAAATGTGGTCTAATGTATGACTCTTAAAAAGCTATTTTTAGGAACTCAGTAATTTTGCGTATTTATAGAACTGAATAAGTAATGAAAACGCATAATATTTATCGTCAACTAGCATCAATGAAAATAATATTCATTTAAATAAAGCGAAGAAGCATTATTTATATATGGAGTTAATAATGATATGATTGAACATAAGCTCACTTACTGATTGTATCCAAATAGCCTGCTGACCCTACATTAGCTATGAAACATTAAAACAAAGAATGTGTTAATCACGCAGTTGGCAGATTAATATTTTTTTAAATACGTGCATTTAAGTTTCGTCTTTCGTATATGGTATACAAATAAGCATTGAAGCATATGAATCGCGACAAAACCGACAATAATTTATCAAATGCCATTCATTAAGCAAAGCAAAAATCAAGCGGTAAGCAAGAATGACAATAAATATAGCATTTTATTAATATAGGAAACGTGGAAATTATTTCTATCAATAATTACTTTTTATTAAAATACAACTACGAATAAGAAACACGTTGTTTCGGGGAAATAAATCAGATTTGATTGATCACAAAAGCTCAGGTAATAAAATACTGAAAATCTTATTGCCAGAACTGGCAATTGAATAAACTCAAAACCAAAAAGAAGTTGCCACAAGTAAGAAAATGTACTTTACCTTCAAGCGTAATGTTTTTTCCCGTGACGTAGGGATCGGTACTCCTTCGATACTTTTGCCTACCACCTCTGACACGGTCCAACCGCACACCTTCCTTGAGCATACCCTGCCTGAGGCACTTTTGAAACCTGCAAGCCTGGCAGGCCTTTCTACGACGTTTGTTGATCTCGCATTCACCGTTCGCCGGGCAGGTGTATTCGATGTTGCCTGTGAAGTTACTGGCTACTTTACCATTATATTCGAAGTTCTTCGCCAGATAGGACTGACAAGCACATAAACACATGATTTGCCTGTCTCTCTTGGTTATCAACATTGAAACACGCTGTTGTTAGATTTCATTCACGCATATAGTCGCGAGAGCCGTTTGATCATCATGGCAATCAAAATATAGAGTGCTATATATGTGCATATGTATTCATAAGTATATATAAATTGTTTACGTTTATTTACTGATAATCTTCTGATGCATCGATAGTTATTCCAGTTACGTATACGACAAATACACCGACAAACACTAAACTTCTGCAAATGATAACGGAAAATTTGATTATGTTTTACGCATCGACAGATTTTCAATTATGTTATTTACCATCATATTGGTCGATAATTCATACAAGATAGGCAAATTTGTTCAGTGCTATCTGGAGGAGCGGCGCTGAGTTGTTTGACATAAAATGCGATTCTCAAGGAGACTATGCCATTCTTACCTTGTATCGTTCTTTTGAAAAAAGCTTTGCAAGCCTCGCAAGAAGCAACACCATAGTGAAATCCACTGGCAACGTCTCCGCAAACAAGACATAGCCTCCTAGGCATCATGTCCTCCTCTTTGACACCGTCCTGTAAGTATTGTGCTGCCTTCAATTGTTGCATTTGCATAAAAAGTAAATGAAATGAAAAAAATATCCGCATCGCTGCGTTTTAATTTCTATCGTTTGCCATCTCAAATAACAATGGATCCCGATAAAATGTTAAAAGGTTCGCGAAGATGAGTCACAAATGACCAACATAGAACGTAATTTTTGCGACCACTCGTCAAAGTCTACTGCACACGCATGAATTTTTTTAGGAACTCCGTATGCCTACAGCTATGAACTGAGTTAATGAAGCCCTTAGACAAACTCACTGAATAATTAGTCGAAAACGCGTATTGTTCGGTGCAGTGCGGGGCACATATAAGTAAAGATACGTGACAATTGCAGAGACGCATACAGGTACACACGCACAAAGTTAAGTTGCGAGTATTATACCTCTGGGGTGCCGAGTGGCTGTGTCGTCGAGGAACAATGATGCATCTCCGGACTGCCAGGACTACCTCCGCTACCTCCGTAATCCGGCATATCCATCTTGGTGCACAGCGACTGCAAAGTTCAGATCAGAAGCTTCAATTGGATATTTTCAATTATCTCCTACGATATTTCAATATTCAACTCTAGTACCGATCTACCTCCATCAATTATTATAAATTATATGAAGTGTATAAGGCACAAGAAAAAAATGGAGATTATGGATCATATGGCGCGGTACATTAGCGCAAGCTTCACGTATACCTATATTGGTGTGTATGTGTGTGTGGTGTGTGCATACGTGCGTGCGTACGTGCATGTATAACGTTTATCGATTTTATCAGTTATTCAATGCTAAATTATGCAACGGAATGCCATCGATGAAATACTTGAGAACACCGAGATCGTAATTTTTTTAGCGAATAACGTCAGAAAAATCGATGTATCGCCTTTCCCCGATAATGTCAATAAAAGCTAGCTACAACGCGAGATGGATTGCTGATAATCTGATGTGGTCTGCGTGTAGAGGAGAATGACGAATAATTGAAGCGCATGTACCTCTTGCTGCTGCAATGTGGTGGTCGGCGAACAGACTTGATAATTCTGATTTGGAGTCGTCGGATTCTCGATCTCCTGCTTGATGTTAGGAACGCTCCTGCTGTTTCCAATCATACTTTCAGAGGCGTTACCAGACATCATACAGACCTGCAGGCAAAGATTCATTGTTCCGATTAGCGCTGTTATAATGCCTCGAACTATTTTCAGCAAGTAGCGCCCCCTCCCTGAAAAATGCGTCAGACGTGACAACGAGATTGAAAAGAACTATCCGTTTGAATTAGCACGAGCGACAAAGAGTAAACAGACGGTCGGAGGATGGGGTGCGAATTTTTTTCCGGGGCTTTTGAAGTTACTGAATACGCGCACTGCTCTCGCGACTCGTAGATTGCACTTTTTTCTGCTTGGCGCGCTCGCAACCACTATTTTTAAGCCCGACCGATGCGAAAACATTTTTAGACAGCTTCGCTCCAGGAATCCGCGTAAATTCGCGCGGTATGGCGCGAGATGCGCGCTGCTGTTCCAGAATAGAAGCGACGAGCGATGCGTTTCTTTATTTTCTTTTCCCTCTCGACACCACACACACATTTCCTCAGCGACAGCCTTGAATTACTTTCAGACTCGCGAACACACCTTATTTGCAGCTTTTATCTTCGCTCTTTTTGCTGTCGTAAGACAAAGTCTACAGCTTTCTCAATGGAATTCGCGCGACAGGCTGTACTTTTTCCAGCGCTCTCTTTCCCTGTTGTTTTACTTTTGTGTTCGTGCGCCGAGAGCAGTTGATTGGCACTAAAGAATTACAAGCACATAGAGCATGAATCACCGTGCAATTATTTCAGTACGAGACACTCGAATTGCTCCGAGTGTTTGGAACTATGTTCGATTTCACTTATTAAATACTACTTTGTAAATCGATCGCAAAGCTCTTGCTGGCGCCGCAAAAATAATTCTTCTCCCTCAAAAGCAAAGCATCAATCTGATAAGAAAGAAAAGCTCGCTTTGACGCGCGTACACACGCGGAGCGAGTGCAGCAAGCAAAGAGTAGCGCTTGGCCCGATTACATCAATTGCAATAATATTAGAGTGGAACGCTGCTATTTGGTTCAGAGGGCAATTTGAATTACGGTAAAGTAATTGGTAAACTTAACAGTGCGGCCTGTTAAAGTCGCTATACGCGCTTGCAATCGAGGTCGCCTTAGTCTCGAATCTGTTTTATCTTTGACTTTTCGCTTAAAGTACTTTGTGTGCTGCTGCTCGCAAGCTCTCTCGTCGCGCAACTTGCAAACGTCCAACTATTACGACATCGTGCGCACCTCGGACACCACGGCAATCGATTATGCTAATTTCATGCTGAGGAGAAAATCTCGATCAACTTTCTAATCAATACTCCAAAGTTCAACTGTTGTTAGTGGTGCTCTCGTCAATTACTTCAACGTTGCGTTGAAAAAAGCATTGATACAATCGCAGTAGTTATCTAGAACAATTACAGACTTAATACATGTGTATTGGACAGTAGCGATATGTAAAAGCTTCATTCTCGTAATATTCTGCATCCACGACGACGTCAGCAAGCTTTACATAAACAATGTTTATTAATGAAAGATTTCATCGATGTTCAAACGGTTCGCAGAAAATACACGAGCAACCTACCTAAGTTTCTAATTTAAAATTCTATGACTGAACAGTAACCCTCTCTCTTGGTGCGAAAAAAAAGAGGGAGTGTCAAAGGACTTGACTTATTTTACGTTCTTTTTTTTTTTAAACACAATTCAAGATTCTTTTCGCTCTCAGAGAAAAAAATCCTTTTAAAAGCAGATAACCGAAGACGTACGTAGGATAATAGCTTCGCGCCAACGCAAAGCGATGCCGATCTGTTCGCTAAAAAAATATTAAATAAAACGATAAAATCATGTTTTTATACTGTGTATAATAAAGTCGAATAACATGTATATCCCGTGATGAAAATCAGAGTGGGAGAGATGCGCGTGGTTGCTTTTCTCATCGACGAAGAGAGTGGAACACAGGAGATGGAAGTAATTATAACTATTTCGCAGTTTGCTACATAGAAAAATCAGAAGAAAGCAATTGTGCTTTTCTTAATAGACTATAAATGACAAGATTTTTTATAGCGAGGGTGAAGGTTGTCAATGTGATAAAGCATAAAAATTGTCGCTTTTTTGTGATTATACACGACTGACTGGCTTTCAATCGTTACGAGTTTATGAGCAATTTATAGAAACTCTCAGAAAAAAGCTTTAATTAATAATGATAATAATGATGATAATAATAATAATAATAACGAACAAGACAATCGAAAATATCACGTCAAAAAAATAACAATCGCGCGATAATCAGAAAATAGTACACACCGGTTATAGCATGAAAAGTTCAAATACGCCACTTAGGACAGTCAAGAAGACGATGTAATGTAACGGTATATATTCTGTAAAAAGGATTGCGTAAGTGCCCAGCAACGTCCTTGTCTCTCTCTCTCTCTCTCTCTCTCACTCCTTATCTACTGGGTGGACGCACGTATGTGTATCTGTGTATATGAAGTCTGGGTAGTATGGCCCGTTGATACGCTTGCGCGCGCGAGTAGAGGGAACCCCTCTCTATCTGGCACGATTGGCCTTGAACTTGACTTTCCCGCGAGAGAGAGAGAGAGAGAGAGAGAGAGAGAGAGAGAGAGAAAGAGAGAGAGAGCTTTACTTCTAGCCGCGTTCGTGTGCGTGCGCGAAGGCCGCGGCAGCGAGTTGAGCGCGCGCGCAAATTTAGACGACGCCCGAGTAGCGGCGGAAACGGCCGATGACGAAAGACGCGCCGTGGCCTTGAGACGCGTCATGACGACGACGACGACAACGACGACAACGACGACAACGACGACAACGACGACAACGACGACAACGACGACAACGACGACAACGACGACAACGACGACAACGACGACAACGACGACAACGACGACAACGACGACAACGACGACAACGACGACAACGACGACAACGACGACAACGACGACAACGACGGCAACGACGGCAACGACGGCAACGACAGCAACGACAGCAACGACAGCAACGACGGCAACGACGGCAACGACGGCAACGACGGCAACGACGGCAACGACGGCAACGACGGCAACGACGGCAACGACGGCAACGACGGCAACGACGACGACAACGACGACAACGACGACAACGACGACAACGACGACAACGACGATAACGACAACAACGACAACAACGACGACAACGACGACAACGACGACAACGACGACAACGACGACAACGACGACAACGACGACAACGACGACGATCGCTGGAGAATGCGTGCGTGCTGTCTTTCCACGTTCACTTTCGCTCGATGTGCCAGCAAAATTCGCACGCGCCCGTGTGGGGATCAAATTATGAATTTTCGCGGCTTTGCCTTTTCTCCTTTAATCCTTTGCGCATTTTCTGAAACGTTCGATTGCGCATTTTCTGAAACGTTCTTAGTTCCAATGTTAAAAAGCGATGGACACATTGTTTCGCGAGTTAGATCGCTCGACACTTGCTTCTGCAAACTTTAATGATAAGCAATTTTTCACGATTATCTCGAAAACTTTCTAACTTCGAGGTTAGCCCTTGAAGTACAAGTTTCGAACTACTAATTTGTAAATTTTACTTTGTACGGTACATAATTGCTTTACCTTGTGCAAGGTAACTTAATTGAAAATAAAACACTTTCTCGAAATGAGAGAAGCCAATGAATTTGCAACAATCTTAGAAAATGTTAGGACAGGTATTTTAAACAGTTTTTTAATCAATAAGGTCGAGCTATAATCTACGCGCACAAACAATAAATTATTTAAACGAACTTTATACTTCGAGTGAAATATTAATTCTTACAGCTAAAATGGCAATCGTTATTTTTTCCCATCGTCATCATCATCGTTGTACAACTTGCAAAAGCTACAAACGATGCCAATGCTTTATGCTAGCAGCAAGTATAAAATCATGATCGCGCGACATACACACACACGTACGTCAGAGTAGTCCACGCGCGCACACGCGCGGCGACGACAAGCTGTTACCGTAATAATCATCTCTCTCATCCCGGCAATTCCTCGAGTATAATCGACGGCGGCGGCGGCGGCGGCGGCGGCGGCGGCGGCGGCAGTGCGCGCGTGCGGCTACTCTTCTCACTATATTGCCACTGTCGACGCTGCTGTTGGGCATCGATTTTCCTCGCGAACAGATGATTAACAACGCCTCGACAGAAGAACAATGACGAAAAAAATCACATACACACACGCGCACGCACACACAGAACAATACGAGCGACGACACTATGGGTCGCACAACGCAGATCGCGATTATGTAATGTACTGGTTTTGCCAAATGAGCTTTTTTCTTTCCGTCAGCTGAGTACACAATATTATGATGTATCCTGCTGATGTAACAATAATTACGATGATCGCTCAGCTGATCGTTGATGTGGTTTTTTTTTATAGAAAATACGATCGTTACATATCGATCATATGTCTTTTTGTGTAGTAATTATTTGCGTAGCTCGTCTTCGTTATATATGAACGAGGCATGTAGAGTCGCCTGATTGCCCATTACGCGAATTATCGGGCGCACACTCACGAGAGAGCGTACTAATTACTAAGTTATTACGAACTTATAAGCTGCTAGGGGGGAGGACAAAACACTGCACACGGCCAACTACATTCTACCAAGCTCCATTGTTGAAAACTGCAATTAAAAGCGCAATCGATTTGCGTGACTTTATTTAGAAAAGTCTAGCCGACTTTTGCTGCAATCCGAGCATGCTATGTAAGATCAGACACATAAAGAGCTGCCTGCTGCTCTTTGGCAAAACAAACCGCAACAACGATCCCTCCAAACGATATACGAATATATACGTATAACGTCTCGGGCGAAAACTTTTTTTTTTACTTACGAACGTTGCGAACCCTACGCGAAACCTTAACAGAAATATCCGCCCGTCAACCTGTCAGGCTGAGCCAGCTACACACACTACACACACAGGCCCCACTCGTGCACGAGCTTCTAATTTAAACACGCGATAATTGGGAGTCCTGTTCGCCTCTGCTGCCGCTGCTGCAACGGCTTCACTTTGAATATCGCGTTCGAAATTTTGTATCTCGCT